TGCCTCTCATTCTTTCTATCTCTATTTTTTGCTTGTTGTTTACAATGATGTGAGCAGCCCTGTTCAACAATGCCCTTCTCTCATGAAGTTCTTCCTGATCAAAGGCTCAGAAACAACAGATCAAGCCTATCATGGGTGGAAACCTCCGAACCTATGAGTCAAAATAAGTAATTTCTTTTTAAACCTGTTTCTCTCTCTCTCTCTCTCTCTCTCTCTCTCTCTGTTTCTTGGCATAATGCCAAAAAGTTTATTAACACAGAAGGAGAAAGTGACAAGGACAGCATTCCATGGCATTCTGCAATTCTGAAAAAAGATCTCACCAGGAAGAAAAACAGCAAGTTCAAAGAGCCCAGGGGAAAAACATCCATGCAATAACTATTCTGCTCTGTGTACCATCCTGTTCTCCAGGAAGTACTCCATTAAAGATGCAACAGATTTAATGATCTATAACCTGTACATAGTTTTTAAATATTGTTGGTAACTTAGTTTATTTTCACAGAAGTGCAAGCACTATAGCAAGCTGTTCATATTTGAGTTCAACATTCTCAAATTTGAGAAAGAGAATGTTATGATGGATTTCTTTCTTTCTTTCTTTTTTTTTTGTTACTGGGAATCCAACTTGTGATCTTGTGCTTGCCAGGCTGGTGCTGTGCCACTGAGCTATATCCCTGTCTTAAGAGAATGTTTTAAAAAAGCAATATCTAAAGAATGCAAACTTCTGCATTTATGTTTTGTATAATTGCCTCTGTGTTTACCTTTTGGTAGCTTCCTTCCTCAATTTTTTTGTCATGTAGCTAGAAAACCTAAGCACAATGTGGAGACCTTAAAGAATTAGAGAAAATAGGGACATTTATAATTTGTAAGATATGTGCTTGGAAGAAATTTTCACTTAATTTTACTAGATTAATATGCTTTCTGGAACTGGGAGTAGTAGCTTCAGGCAACATCTAGGATATTGTTGTCTCTCTAATTCAAAGGAATCTGCTAAGAGAGAATCGTTTATCATTTGCTGAAATCAGCATGGGAGCAGTTCCATGAAGGATTACAAAATATTCAGTTAATTTGCAGTCACAATATAATATTAAACAATTTTAAAAGTAATGAATTTAAAAGAACTATTGTAAGATTTCAAATATATTAGCAGTGCAATATATTTTATTAATTTTAATAAAATCTTCTTCTAAGATATTGAAGATAGATTCCCCCCTGTTATTTTCTTGTTATTAAGTCTTTGCCAAACTCCCTTAGGATTTTGGGGTGTACAGTTTCAATATTTGTCAGATTCAAGTCAGGATGACAGTGCAAAAAGGGCAGTTACTATTAATTTTATATAGTATGATTTCTCATTGTCTATAAGGATTTTGTTTGATTTATTTAATTTTGCATATTGTAATAATATCTTACATTGTAGGAAAAATCTGTTTTATATATTTGTACTTCATAAAGTTGGAAGATCCTACAAACTAATTTCAAGATACTTTTTGTTAGATGAGAGATCTGTTTCAACCTGAGGAGAATGGTTGTTTTTATGAAATACAAATAATTAGGCACACACACACATATGAAATTAATCCTCAAGGCAAATAAGATATAAGTAAAATTATCTTACAGATGATTGAATCCTGAGATTTTAAAAATGTTTTTTATTTTTCCATTACTTTTGAACTAATCCTAAACAGCATTATTATTTTCTATTAATATACAATAGAATTGCTATAACTGTGCTCCCCCCCCCCCCCATGCTTAAATTTGTTTCTGGCATTAAATTTGAGATGTAAAACTTAAAACTGATTAGGTCAGTTTCCTGTGCCAAGAATTTAAGATTTAGTTCTTAATGACCATTACTTAAGTCATATTTATTTGGAAATAACTCTGATACCAAGAAGTACCAATTATTAGAGAATATGTAAAGCATTGAAATGAAAAAGAAAAAGGATAGCTTTTTCACTAACAGGTTTTCAGATCATTTCCCCACATCATAACACATTATTTACAATTATTTACAATTTTAATCTATTTTTGACTAGGTCTCTCTCTCTCTCTTCATATATATATATACATATATGAAAACAAAGTCCAGCTGATTGGTGTAAACAATAGTTTATTTACTTGCTGATATATAATTCGTCTGACAATAATTGCTTTGGAAACACTTTGAGGAGAAAATGTCTTAAAAGTTTTCTTGTGATTACCAATATAACTTTCATTGCATTACATTCTACTAACATAATATGAAGACATGCAAATGAATCACATTCACTGACAGATTTTATTTCCCACTATGGCTCTATATACTATTTAAATAAAGCTGATAGAATTGCATTTTTAGTTTGTTATAATAAAATTTCACATCAGAGTCAGGTGTGGTGGTGCAGGCCCATAATCCCAGCACTTGGGTGGCTGAGTAAAGGATCACTGTGAATTTGAGAACAATTTGAGCTACATTGCGAATTCAAGGTCAGAATGAACTGCACTGTGAGACCCTGTCTCCACAACAAAAACTCTGCACATTGGAAGACTGCATTCAAATAAGAAGCACTTTCTAGAAGCAGGTTAAAGAGGAACTTTATTAAGATATATTATGTCACATGAACCAACTCCCCAAGAGGAATATAATCACTATGTATTGCAAATACATACTTATAAGAATAAAGTAAAACTTTAGAGCAACATTATAATATACAAAAGTTGCAAAATATGTAATTTTGAAAGTATTTGTCTGGAGGTTGTGAAAGGTCAGCAGGAAGGGGAAAAAAACAACTAAAAACTAGGCCAAACAGTGTCCTCTGGCTCTTGCTTGCAAGTCCCACTGAAGCCAATGGAAGTTTATGGAAATATCTGAAAGGCCCATTTGACCTAGTTCAAATGTTCCATTAAATTAATATTTTAATACACCGTCCTAGTTAAGTGCCATTTTTACGGTTCTTGTAGCATAGTTTTACCTGATGCTCATTCATAGCTTCCTTGGAAATCATAAAAAGGAAGACAGACTAACAAAGGATATTTCTCTTGTCATTTAATTTTCTTATCCCCTGCTGAGAAAAGGGTATGTACAGAAATTCATATATCCAAGGTAAGTTTCATGTTTTCAATACCCATAAGATGGGAAGTATAATCAGAAGCAAAGTACATAATTCTGGTACTGAGTTTGGGGGAATTTAGTTCCTGAAATTAAATCATGTATACAGCCAATAGTATTTGATGTTGTATTTTTATACGTTTTTTATACTGTTCAGTGAATACATATCATTGTAGCTGTTTTATGATTTAAGGAGGGACTAACTAGCCTCTTCCTTCCTATGATCTTATTTATTGTATATTTTGGACTGTTACTGATTAAGGTCCATTGTCACTGGGCATAGGTCGTTTCTGGAAATCTAGCAACAGAGCATCACTGTATGGCTTTTCCCAGTAAGCTATTCATTTGATTTTCTCCAAGAGGTGGACATTGAAAGGTACCTACAATCAGGTTTCGGACTTGTGTTTGCGAGTCAATATAAGGAAGCTCCAAGGAAAAAGGAGAACCGGGTGAGACATTCTCCACTGAAAACGAACCCTTCTTTGAAAAGAATAATTTGGACCATAAACGCTGGGGCCAGAACTACTGACTGAATTCACCTCACTACTCCTATTAGTTTTCAGCTCTGTTTATTTCTCTCTACTTTATCTCGAGCCTGTTATTTCATTCCTTAAAAATGGAAATGATGAAAGAATTTTGTGAGATTTAAGAGACCTTTGGGAATAGAGTCTTCTTTTTCAGTTATCATTATTGTTTTGTTTTCAGTGCCATCCGTGACATTTGTCTCCTAGCCCAGATCACTCTTTCTCACTTCCACGTTCCTAAATACTGCCCTTGGGGTTTGTACGGGAATCTGAACAGTGGAAAAGATGTGTGGAAGCAGCCAAATCCATAAGATAAAAGCTCAAAGAGCTCTTTCAGGAAAAACTCAGTTCCAGCTGCCTGCATTTCTAGGACGGTAGAAACAGGCCTTCTTGTGGCTCTGTGACGTTACCTTTGGAGGCCTCGTTCACCACAGCTGCCAGCCATTCACAGCAGGAAAGGTGCATGGCAGGTGGGCGCAGCACCTGCCACTGGTGTGTGTAGGCAGGTTGCTGGGCAGCAGAGAAAGAATAGAAGTAGATGGCACACAGTGGTCATTCTCTTTCGTATCTGGTTCATGAAACCCCTGGAGACACCTGCAGGCAGTGTTCCAGTTCAGAAATATGGTCCAGCTTTGCGGGAACGTCTCAGGAACTGACAGAAATGTATCAAATCACCATACATTTCTCTCTTGCCTGTTGCCCACCTGGCATGGTGTTAGCAATTGGTGACACACGAAAGACGAAGGCCAGATGGCTCTGATAGTAAGTCCTTGTCTGGCTCACCACGTGCGAACATTTTCAATACCCTGTTCTGAACTCTGAGCACAGGTCCAGTCACTCTTTGAGGACACAGGTAGGGACCCATGGCCTGGGGCAAACATCCAAGTAAGCTGACATTATTCTGAGGAATGAAGATTCCAGATAGGCTGCCTTCTAGGGTGAGAAAATTAAGTTTCTGTGTCACATTTACATTTTTATGTCTTAACTGAGATTTTCTTGAAATACTGATGGCATCATTGAAGTAAATTTCTTTCTTTTACCATAGGGGTAAACACTAAACTAGTCCAAATAGGACCATTTTAGAAATACCTTAACACAGACAAGGAACTGGCGTCCTTTTCGCTGGAAGCCCGACTGCACTGCTTGATGTCTGAATAGAGGGAAAGGGAAAAGAACCAAATCCCAAGCTCGGGGCCTAGAGGCGGGCGCTACGCTGGGCACGGCTACCCAATCCGCCCGCCCCACCACAGCGCCCCTCCCCATCGCGATGGAGGTGGGTGTGCCAACGCTCGCGAGAGCCCCGTTGGCCTCCACGTTTGCCACGTTCCAAAGGATCCAGACACACTGCAAGGCTGCGGGGAGCTCGCGCTCCCAGGCAGTTGCGTAGCGCAGAGCAGCCTCAGGTCTGCAGAGGGAGAAGTCAGCAAGACACCGCCTTCCCCTTAGCGCCCTGACGATTGGCTCAGGCGCTCTGTCATTTAGCGCTCGGTGGGCGGGGCGAGCCCGGGGGCGGGGCCTAGGGGCCTAGCCGCGCGTTCTCGCCTGGGAAGGAGGCACAGGCTCGGCGCGCTGGAGGGCTGGGCGCGCGCAGCCGGCACGCGGGTGAAAGTCCTCGGAGGCGCGGCGGGCGGTGCCGAGGCTGAGTCGCTGCTGAGGGAACCGCGGCCCGCACCGCTCTCGCGTCTCCCGCCGTCGCGGTCCCCGCGACCTCGAGTCCCTGGGCTCCGAGAGAGACCCTCGGGTCCCCGCCGGCCCCTGTGGAGCGCGCCATGGCCCCGCGCAAGAATGCCAAAGGTGGAGGCAGCAACAGCAGCGGTAGCAGCGGCTCCGGCAGCAGCGGCTCGAGCACCGGCAGCAGCAGCGCCGGGGCTCGGAGAGGTCAGTCCTCGCAGGCCGGGCCTCGGGTGGGAACCCCGGCGGCGTCCGCGCGGGTGCGGCCCCGGCTCTCCGCTCTGGCCGCGCCTCCTCCATCCTCCCCGGGGATCTTCCTGGGGCGCTCGGGACCGCGGCCGCGCTGGCCCGGCCTGGAGGGTGGAGCCGGGTCCGAGCCCAGGGTTGGTCCAGCCCGGGAGCCCATGCATGGCAGTGCCCTCACCTGCAGGGCGCAGCCCTTACCTTCAGGGCGCAACAGAAATGGAGGTTACGGAGCTACTGCGTATGGCTCTCTGTGGAACTGAACGTGGGACTGGCTGAACAGTTTATCTTTGCTTTGCATTCTTTGGGGAGTTTGGAAATGAACCAGAGTCAGGCAAAGTTAAGTTCCTGCCTAACCAGCAGCGCTTAAGAGCCACTCCATGGAGACTATTCAGAGCCAGGAGATAGAAGGTGGGGAGGAGGTTTTGGAATAGCTGAGGACTAAATTGAAAGCTTTTGAAAATTTCTTTAAATACATTAATATGTTTTTTTCATCTGCGTTGCGTTTCCTTTTAGGACATCAAGGAATGGCTTAAACACTGGGCGAAGCTATTCCTCCTCCTTTTTTTTCTTAAAAAAATACTCATCTTTCTTTTTCCCCTATTCTCACCCAGCATAGAGAACAGATGTTTTAAATCTGTTTTGTCTCTTATTTCAGTGGCACTCAGATTCCTTTGTATTTGCTTTACCTCATATTTGGGATATTGAGACTGGAATACACATGTGGATTGAATGTGCTGAAAAGTTCAGTTGAAATGATTTAGGTTCTTTGCTAAGATCTGCATACAGTACGTTAATACATATCAAGAAAATAAACAACTATGATTATATTTCAAAGAACTATTTCTTCATAGTACATAATCTTAATTATTTTCATGTGTATTTCCTTTGTTTCACTCTCTTGGTCATTTCTTATCCCCCACGTCTTAGAATGGTCCTGTCCCATACTAGATGCTCAATAAATATTTGATTAACGAGTTGATGAATAAATGGCTCAAGCAAAAGGGTGCAGTTAAATCCATTGCACACATGTACATCAAAAACCAATATTTATTCTCTGAATGGAAAGAGATACCCAAATTCCAAGTTTAAAGCCACCTTACTGATTCATCTCTGATATAAGTAAAATTTGTGTTCCTTGTTCACTTGTCTGTCATGTCAGCTAAATATGGAGAGGGATAAGTTAACTGCCATTGGTGGCTGGGGTAACACTCATTAACATTTCTAAATAAGAGCTTTTTGTACTGTTTAGAGGCCAACAGGGAAACTCATAAAGAATAATATGTTAACTTTAAATTTTCTTGTAACTACTTACAAGTAAAACATCTTTTTTCCATTTCTTTTTTTCTTTAGTACTGGGGATAGAACCAGGGTTTGGCACATGTCACAGTAGCCAAATGCCCTACCACTGAGCTATATAGTCCAGCCCCTCTCTGTTCTGCTTATCTTCTGTACGCTAGAGTTGAGACTTACTTTATCCAAGAAAATCACCTTGTAAAGCCTGTTATTGGTAAGAATTAATATTCTGACGTGTGTGGTGTTCCCCCCTTATCCAATATGTACTTAAACCATTCTAACAGTAAGTTTAGGTAATGTCAAGGCCTAAATTATTCTGACTTTTATACTGAGACATGGTACAATGAGCTGTGTCTGTATTTGAGGATCTTCAACCTTTTGATCATTTTATGCGTTGACTCCGTAGTTGTCATAAGATATACTGTGTAAAAGAGGATACTTAAAAGACAATATGTAAAAGACGTATCTATGTGACAAAAAAAAGTTCAAGAGTCGGTATCAAAGTCTTTCATATTACATAATATGTATTGTTTTTCTGTGGCCAGTTTTTTTTCAGGAAATACTGTTCTGAACTTGTGTGAGGTTGAAGGCACCAAAGAAAGAAGCAAGAGTAATCGGCATTATCTTGAAAATTTAGACTGTCAGTGTTCTGTTTATATTGTTCTCTTATAGCAGCATATATCTGAGAGATAAAACTAACTTTGCTTTGTCTGCCTGATCATTGAGATACGGATATTGATTTGTAAGCCATTCCCAGCTTTTGGAAACATAAACTATTCCCAGGTTAATGCCTAGAATGGTTGTCTAGTCTATGAACTAGCAGTTTCAGCTAGTTATTGTAAGGTCTGAGATTAGAAAGCAGGATTCCTCTTAGTCATTGATTGCAACCATACTGTTAGAATTTTAGGTTCTGTAATGTGAAGAAAAGTGTGCTTTTGTCATTTCTCTGAATTTTGTTTGACTAGAATTATGTTTGAAACAGCACATCTGGAAATCTAGTTTGAGAAGTGTATGTATACTCAAAAGGTTTTTTGTGATGTTTTGTATTGAGAATCTGAAGTCCATGGTGACATTGGTCACATTAAACATTATTTCTTAGATATTTATTTAAAAATGTGGACGAAAAAGTGTCCAGTGTTTTGAAGTAGTGAGTTTTAGGGAAAGGATTTTTTTAAATACTTTTTTTCTTTAACATAATAGAAAAAATGATTAAATGGAGTTTAATTTTAAGTTTTTCAGTTTGATCTCTTAGAGTGGATTTGAGAAATCTTTGGTGAAGAAGGATTGCGATATATAATTTTTCTCTGGGCTGATTTGGTAGTACACAGATGCTGGTATGTGTAATGTTTTTTTGCCCTTTGCTTACCTTTCCCTGTTAAATATCACCTTTGCTTCTTTGTAGCTTCTAAGCAGCTTTCTAAGGCATGTTAGTTTGTCTCCGTGTGGTTACCTTGTTACATTATACCAGTAGGTGTCACTGTAGAAACCTTTCTGCCTTCTGATTTGACGCTTCAGATTATAGATAATAGCAATTACGTTTTAAAATTGCTATTATATAATCAGTTTGTAGTTACAGAAAACTATTGTTGGACAACTATTTAAACAATCTTATCTACTGATCTTTAGTTCCTCAAGATTTCTAACATTTTGAAATATAGCAATAAGAGTTGGTCCCAAACAACATTATTTAGGCTTAACTACTTTAGGATTAAATACATTCATATATTATCCATAAAATAGATATTTTCACAGATTCACTTGATGAGTTTTAGTTGTTTATAAACACTTCAGGGTGTTTTTTTTTCTCTTTTCTTTCTACTCCTATTGTCTATTTACTTAATAACCATGGTATATAATATAGTGACAATTGCATTTTGGCTTCCTTTAATGAAGAGGCGCTGGTAGAATTCCTTTTCTTCACTCAGAGACTATGAAGGCCTGTTGCCTGATCTTCCATCAGTCATTATAAAATGAAAAATAGGCCATAATATAGCTACAGCATGAATTCTATGGTATTTTTTGTTCAATTAATAGCATTGGTCTACTAAAAATGTTTTGAGAGTATTTATTTATTTATTTATTTATTTGAGACAGTGTTTTGTTCTGTAATTCAGGCTTACTTTGAATGCAATGTGTAGCCTAGGCAGGTCTTTTTTATTTTTTAATTTTATTTAAAAAGGAAAAAACCAAAACAGAAAATGGGTGCAAATAATACAGAATTTCAAAAAAATAAACAGTAAGAAATCACTAGTTAATAGATTACATATTGTCATCTTAGAAATAGTTGTTCAAGTTACAAAATTAAAGCATACAAAGTAGACACTCAAACAGTGAGACTACAAACAGTTCTGTTCAATGATCCAACAAAACTTAGTAATATGGTTATCTATCTTATACACTTAGATATACGTGCAGGTAAATCCTTTAGAGCACTTTTTTTACAATAACAATTACACATTTTGGGTTTTATTACTCCTATAGTTCTTATTACTTTTGTTTTGAAGAGAATAAAACCAAATGTGACAAAACAAAACAGTCAGTCAAATCAAAAGGATAGACATAGTGCATGATGTAAAAACAGAATACAAGGTGATCAACAATGGTTACCATAATGCCTCTTGCTATCTTAAAAAGAATTGCCTATATCATCAGTTATAGTAAAATTGAACAAAACAGTACAGAACAAAACCAATAAAACCGAAACATTGGAGACATTACAGGACTTCAAAAGAAGATAATAGTCAAACCAGAATGGGCATCATAGTGAATCTTACTGTCTTCAAAGGAATTGCCTATACTCTCAAACTTGATACTATCAAGCAAAACAGAATAGAGTAAAATCAGTCAAAACAAGATGGTGAGAGCAATACAGGGCTACAAATCAAGTTAACAGGAAATCAAAATAGTTACTATAATATATCCTGCTTTTTTAAATTTAGTTTTTCCCTTAATTAAAAAAATAATAAAAAAGGAGATTGAGATAAAAGAGGACATAACAACACAACAGCATGGGTCAGAACAGAACAATTTAAGCAACATAGTATTTCACCACAAGATAACCCGACATAACAGTAGTTACCACAATATCTCTTTCCTTGAAATATTTGAGTATAACTTCGTATACTGTAGCATTAAACATACCAAGACAGTGTAATACCATTCAAGGGAATGAAAGTATTACAAGATATTTAGAATCAACTAACAGAAAACAAACAGTGGTTTCTATGTTATCTCCTCGTCTATAAAAATTTTTGTTTATACTATCACATATAATAAAATCCAATAAGATACAACATATTAAGACCGATGGAGACGGAAGAACAAAAGCTTAATGGGACTTCAAAACAAGATGATATTAAATCAACCCTAGCCATTATGATGTCTTGTTTTCTTCAAAATAGCTGTTCATACCATCACAGACAATAAAATCAAACAAACCAGAATAAAACCATTCCAATTAATGAATGAGAACATTATAAGGCTTCAAAGCAATGTAATGGGGAATCATGTTTACCACATACTGTTATGTATTGTTATCATTTCTTATACTAGGGAAACTATTCGGTATTTATACGTGAGTTTGGTTTATTTCACTTATGAGTATGGTCTCAAGATGCGCCCATTTATTTATAAGTATCTCAATGTGATCATTCTTTATAGCTGAAAAG